GATTACTGGATGGCGCAAGGGTGTGGCAGCGCCATTGAGTCGTTACACGCAGGAATAGAGAGCCAGTAGGGGGATAATACGCGAGAGGGAGAGCGAGAGAGCGAGCGAGAGAGAGAGAGAGAGAGAGAGAGAACGCGTGCGTCTCTATAATATACAAATGTGTGAGTGCGCGCATGGCCGGGAGGGAGGGATGAAAGGAAGGAGACGACGAAGGGGGATGGAGCGGTATAGACAGGGACCTGGTGGTGGTGGTGGCAACGCGGGGCGGTACGGCGGACGGGGACAAGGATGAACCACCTTAAAGGGGATAGCGTGGATCATAAATAATCAATATTATACCGCGACCGATATAGAAAAATTTCGAATTTCGCGTTCAACCCCCGCACGCTCGCTCTATAGGCCTACTTAATCCCCCCGTCGCCTCGTAATTCCGCGAACTTTTTGGAATTTCGCGGCGACGTTCTCTTTATCTCGAATTACATTCGCGTTTGTATAATACAAAAAGCGCGCGTTCGCGGGAAAAGGATTATGTTGTCCGACTCCGGGAAGGAGAGAGAAGGAATAAAGAGACGGAGAGCGCGCGATCCATTTCTTATCGATGTAAAATGTATGTACGTGCGACAGACAATCGGACAGAGATCTAACAAGCGCACTCCGTATAATTCGAAACTTTAATTGCGCATGTAGTTGCCATTCGCGCGTCAGTATATATATATATAAATAAATATATATACACACGGCTACTATTTTTATTAAATTACTGTAGACTCGTCCGTGCGCGATAGCTGTAATACATATGTATATTTGCAGAATACTCGTGAATAGAGGAGGTGGTCAATGAGAAACCGATTTACGATTATTCATGAAAAAAGAATCCATATACACAATTTTCGATTATACACCTCGAATTTCTCGTCCGATCCGCGCTGAAGCGGATTTCAGACTTCCGCCGCCAAGTTCAGGGCGATCGCGTATAAAGCGCAAAATGAAGTTAGCCGCGTACGAACGCTTCCATTACATTTATGCGTCATACGCGAACGCGCCACGTGACAAGCGGAACATCTACATGTAGTACCGAAAGTAGTAAAACTCGACAACTTGCGTTCTGTTTCGTTACTGTCGTTCAGCAGCAGCAGGAGGCGATTGTTGTTGATCGGACGCGTTTTACGCGTCGCAGTAATTATTACACTTGATTAGAAAAACTATGCGATATCAAGAGGAATGGAGATATCCAAGAAAAACGATAATCAAAGTGACGTCAAAATGACTCCAAAATAAGTGACTTTTCTCAACCATTTATACTGTTTATTTTAACGTCGTTTGACGTTACCGAAACTTGTATAGAACGATGTAGGGGAAAATTTGAAAATTTCCTCATTTCTGACACGAGACTTTCTTCTAAAATTCAATCGATTATCTTCCACTTCCACGCTTTATCCCTATTTCTAAACCTTCGGCATTACGTATTTTAGCACCTCAGCCCGCATTACTGTATACGTTGATACGAAATATATTGTGAAGACTCAGGGTGTATTTGGATCTTTTTTCTTCTCGCATACGTGTAGTTTCTCGGCACCCCGTATAAGGAGGTGACGCTGCTGGGCGACGTACAACGTGGCTATCTTTCGCAACGCGAAGCCGCGACTACACGACTTGAACGCGACGTTGAAGCCGAGAGACGAGGAACGTGCGATAATCGTGCGCGAAAAGAATACCTCATTCTCTCGGCTGGACTATCGACTGGTCGCGCAAACTTGTGCCGCGCACGAGAAATTCGTCCGGAGGGACGAATTTCAGGCCAATGGTCATGTCAAAAGATGATCGCCTCCAAAGACGAGTCATTTTTTTCGAGACGGAATTCGAAAATTGCCTGAGAGATGGGAAAACGTTACTAGCCAGCGATGGACAATACTTTTAATTAATCTGTTCATTCATTTTCTTTTGAAACAAATGCATTTTTGAACACAAAAAAACTCCCAATATATTACGGTACATTCTTAATCCAAGACCGCCTTAAGTAATACTACTTTGTGTGATTATATCTTCAGAATTACCATAGAAATCAGGAAGAAGTCAACGAATTTTGCAAGATTTTCTGAAAAATCTAAATATTTGGTTTTCAAGAAGTTTAATATATCACACCTACGCTGAGTTTTCGAATACTAAATTCAACTTGATAAATGAAAGTGTAAGTAACGTCAGCAACATTAATACAGTAATTTATATACTGCTATGTTAAATTAATCCATCGATAAAATATTCAACGGTTTTCAAATCAGGTTTAAAAATACAAAAAAAATTGTGAAATGTTATAGAAAGGCACGAGGACACTTTTTGCTCAAATATATTCGAAAATTTAACTACAACTCTGAAAATAATTTTGTCGAACCGTCGACATTTTTAGTAAGAGACACTCAAAGTTGATTGTTAGATGTTTCGAACGATTTAGAACGATTCAGTCAATCGGTAGTCTACCACTTCCCGGAAAATTCCGTCGTTGAAGAAACGTGGGATCCGCCGGCGTGCAACGCGACGGCCGGTCGTTCCTTTCCTCGCTCGTGAAATCGTTCCCCACGTTCGATTCCGTCGTCACTCGATATATTATCGCCAGAAATATCGACGATAACTCTCTTTTTTTTTTTTTTTTTTTTTTTTATCGCGATAGTTGTCAAAGTGTGATTTTCCTCGCATTTGTACGGGAAGAACCGACCAGCCGATTCCGAAATATGCGCAACAATTCAGAAATGTTAACAACGGAAGCGTATCATCGGGACTCAAGCCGTAATCACATTAGCGATTGCGCGATTGTGATTGACGATTGAGAATCACTTTTCGACCAATCGGAACAAAGCAGTTACCGATTGCTGCGCTCTAACTGGTTGGAAAGTAATCCTCAATCATTAATCACGATCGTGCAATCGCTAGTGAGATTACGGCTTTAGGGTGGACGATTAGATCAGTGTACGTTTTTCAATGCATTTTTCATTTTTTATATGCGTGTAGTAAGCCGAAGTAATAAATATTCTATATTCTATTCACTTGTAGGAAACGGGATTGCGTAGGTATATATTAATCTTTTTACCTACGAAAAGAGAGCAAAAAAGAAAAATGAATCACGTCTACGAAATGAAAATAATTGCGTCTGTTTGACTTTCTCTTTTTCTTATAATCTCTAAAATTAAACAAGTTCCGGAAGAAAAATGATTTATTCAACAATTTTATTTTTAAACTGAAAACAAATTCCCCAAACGCTTAATTATTTTATCCGATATACTGGAAATTCCGATAAAATCGCGAAACGATGCATTGGCTTTTCAAATTATGCGCGAATATATGAACAGTCAGAATTTCAGGTCGATCTTTTCAGCGCGCTTAAAAATGAGGTGATACTTTTCGAGATTTTCAGCGAAAAACGGAAATGAAAGAAAACATAAAAAAAAGAACGAAGATTATTGATGAAACGCTTCGTCGCGTTTTTCGACACACACACACACACACAGATATCTCTTTTATTTAATTCCCATATACCGTCCTCTGTTACATACATCTCTTTGTCATTTAATGAACGACCATTAAGTACATCTGTTGATGAATAAACACTGTTCATCCTCCTTCGGCACACACGCGCGTTACGTGCGTTACCAGCTGAATAGTCAGACCCCATTTAGTTGCATCATTTCCACAAGAGCATCGGCGTCGTCATCGTTTAAAGGCGGCTACATTGCGGCCGCCCGCGTATTGCTTTCGCGGAAATTCATTTTCGGAGCCAGCATCTGCCACGTATATACCTGTAGAGAGGGGATACCCGAAGCCTACGATTGTTATTTCACGCGCGGGATCTTCCTTCATCCTTTCATTAACCACATCCTCACCGTATTCAACGACTCCCGACGACAACGGATTCGCGATTCGTAAATCTGCTCCGAGGACTCCGAGGTCGGGTCGGTTTTAAAAGGCGCTCCCTTAATCCTACATTCATCCTAAAACGCCATCGAGAGAGATCGCCCTATTGATATTTCCGGGACCTACGATTTATTTCTTTGTAAAATGTACACTACGGGAGATGCGCTGCGAAAAGAGAGAGAGAGAGAGAGAGAGAGAGAGAGAGAGAGAGAAGAGGAAGGTAGAATTTCCAATAATTTCAACACGCGTTGATTGAAATCGCGGCGGGTGGTTCGGTTCTCGAGTAAGGATTCATCGTCACGCGTAAACGGAAACCCACGCGTCCCCCGCGTTAATTTTCCAAGGATAAAACGAAAAACTAAACTGAGAACGCGTGGAGGAATGTCGAGATTTCGAGAAATTCGGGGAAACGAAACTCTCCGATCGGATCGGAGAGGTCGAGACGGCCCGAATCTATACATAACAAGCGAGCTTTTCAACTCGCGTAATGCGAACTCGACGGATGCGGACTCTAATCGAAATCCCGGGTTTAGATCCTAATCGCCGACCAGAGATCGCATGATCTCGCCGAGGCTCGACCGGGAGAGGCTTGTCTCCGGCTCGACGTGCATTTCTAACGCGCGTGTTTTCGGTCAACTAAGATCAGATAGAGTAGAGGAGCTTACGTAAGGATGTAACGCGAGTTCTCGTTGTCGTTTGGTGCCCTCTCGCGGGATGGAATATCAAGATCGCTAATGTGATCCGTTTACATGAGATTAGTTCGATTCTTATTGAAGAATTCCGTTGGTACTCGGTAACTACCCAATGATCTTGAATTTCTAAAACATGTAAATAAGCCTTGAATATTTCCTAGATGAGCCTGCAGCGTAAAAAACTCAGCGCACAGAAATCAGCTAAACATGTTTCAAATCGAGCATACCTTATTGTTACATTTATTACATATTTTCTATTTTTTAAATATGTCTTCGTAAAGATAGAAATTTTTACTATTTTACATGTATAAAAAATAGTTTAGTATTTTTATATATTGTACATTTATTTATTTAATATTTCTTATGTACAAGAAAATAATTCAACACATTATTACTGTATGTGTGTGTGTGTGTGTTGTGTGTCAAAATTTCTTTTTCTCAAAAATAAAACCTGCTTTGTTCACGAAGACAGATTTATCGTTTTGTTAAATTTCATTGGTTTACTGGAGTCTAATAAACCAAATATTCGACTTAAAACATTCGTAGCAGCCACATTCTTGGCTTCCTCGATAGTTTGACCAAATCCTACAAAAATACATAAAGATTTGTTAACTCAAATAACGAGGCGAATAGCTAAATTAAATCACATCTCATTGTATTTATATTATATTACATTTACCTGAACCTAGAAATTCTTTATCGCAATACATCCCTATATGATATGCTACTTCTAGTGTATTATTTCCCGTTTGTGCAATAAGCCTTGGTTCGGCGGATGATCTGTTTTGCTTCCGTAAGATATCATTTAAAAGTTCGACCGGGTGAGCTGGATTCCATATTTCCGTTAGATCCTTTTCAGCTAATACAACAATCAGGAAGTCTCTGACAAAATTCGTCGTGTGATTTACGTCTACACTTTCTGCAAGCGCCGCGACAAGGGCGAGAAATGTATCAGCTAAAGTCTTTTGAGCCACTGGATGTTCCTGTAGGATTAATTAAAAATTAGCAAATTAAAAACACAATTTGAACATTGTCTCCAGTTTGAGAATAAATAAAATTTTTGTCAGGACACTGAAATATATAGTGTGTGCACTGAAGTTGTGAACAAACTAATGTGAATTTATAATCACATACACACATTATATTAGACGTTCCTATTTCCAGACTTACTTCTGTTAAAATAATATCTTTTGCTCCAATGTGAACAGCTGCTTTAGCTAGAATTTCCTCAGAAAGAAGATAGTCGTGCAATGAACTAGAACATAATTAATTCTTTAATTCTGGTACTATAAAATTGATATAATTATTCTAATATATAACATTTTCCTCTTATATACTTTTTATAGTGCATACATTATAATGTCCTCAGATGCTTGTGGTAAAACTTGGACTAAATAAGCCTGCACAATTTCTGATGTAAGCTTCTCGCCTTTTCTAATTAACTCAGTATTGTCTTGTATAGCGAGTACAGGATTTTCTATTCCCATTTCTTTCTGCTTCTGCTCTTCTTCAATAAGGTATGATCTGTGAGTAAAGGCTTGCTCCAATTTTTCTGTATCAAAACTTTCAGAGAGGCGTACATTAAAGGCATAAATCTCCGCAGGTCTGTTCCAATCGAGGAAGGTGCTGCGTTTTGGCTCTGGCTGCTCACCCAGTGCTTTTTTGAGTCTGGTTAATTTCTTTTGCGTCGGTGCCACCCATCTTTTAATGTATCTCTGTCCTGATAGAAAAAAAAAAAAGCAAAATGTAATTATAGATGAAGAAAAATGTTATAGAGAATTTATATAATTATAAATTTTCTGTTCCTTAAAATAACACGTTACAACTAACCTTCGTAATTTACAGATCGTACGCCTTTACTTAACATCATAGTTTTAACGCATGAACGTAAGACGTTCATATTTAAAGAATAATTTACTTATCCAAATTACTGTCAAGAAATCACTTATTAATAAATTATCAACAAATATCGAAATAATGTACAACCGGATAGTTTCCCAAACTTTATATTAGGTTATAAATAATCGCACAATTGATACGCAGCACAGTTCTTCCTTGTTTCATATTTTGGCCACAATATTTGCTGAGAGGGCGTCAGCATTTGGCAAATTATTTTTCTCTTTCCTATTATTTTATTTTAATTCGATTTCTGTCACGATGAAGCTAGCAATTAGCACCTTAGCTTTTTCGTTCTAAAAACGATCCTCAATTTGTTTTCACCGATAGGAGGCGTTGTGTAGTCGCCTACAAGTGAGAGAGAAATATAGGCCATTTCACTCTTTCACTCACATGAATATGTGTGTTCGTATGCGTCAGTAGGCCTGTTCTTTTTCTCCGCACAGTGCAATAAGTTGAAGTGAAACAGATATACGTTTGTTTCACTTCAACTTATTGCACTGTCTGAACTGGTGCAGACAGTGCAGGCAAAAAGAACAAGCCTAGTATGTGTTCATTCATTTGATTCTAGGTTGCGTTCGTTTTGCTCAGTACAAAACGATAAAAATGGGTGGTTGCACTGCAGAATTTTGTAACAACTCATCAGAAAAAGGATACACCATGAAATTATTTCCGACAAATCCTGAACGACGGGCCTTATGGATAAAGAACGTTGGCTACAAAAGTCGTTTATTAGGAAAAAATTCATGTCTGTGTGAGGTTAAGTAGCACGTGCTCATTCAACAAAATTAATCAAGTGTACTATATAATTACTATATTAATCAATATTAAAAATGTTATAAATCTTGTCCCTAATCTTTTTTCTACATTGAAACTTATAATTTTTTTAAATTTAAATTGTAATAAGGCTCAATGAATTTAAAACTAATAAGAGAACAGGGATAGATTCATTAAAATCTTTAATTTTATTTATTCTAATATATTACGAAGAATATCACGGTAGTGTTGGCGTTTCGTCCCGGCTTCCAATACTGGACTCATCAGTAAGGTATTGTAATGGAAGCCTACCTTAGACGCCGGTGTAAGTTATTAAATCGAGATTCTATATAAAGAGATATACACGTGTCTCAGCACTTGCGAGAATTTGCGAATATCAATAGACCTCTGATGGCGGGTCGTCGTAGTAATATTCTTCGCAATATTTATCTAAAGTACTACATGTATTCCCCTCCCACCCCCCTCACATTGCGCGCCGAACTATCGTCGGTCTTGAAACGCAACTCATAATCAAATCAGAGGTCTATTGATATTCGCAAATTCTCGCAAGTGCTGAGACACGCGTATATCTCTTTATATAGAATCTCGATTTAATAACTTACACCGGCGTCTAAGGTAGGCTTCCATTACAATACCTTACTGATGAGTCCAGTATTGGAAGCCGGGACGAAACGCCAACATTACGTGATATTCTTCGCAATATATTAGAATAAATAAAATTGAAGATTTTAATGAATCTATGGCTCGTAGCCCTGTTCTCTTATTAGTTTCATAATTTTTTGGTATTTTTTATATATTATAAATAATCATGTCTCTCTCATAAAAATTATAATTCAATTCATTTTCGGTTTTTTTTTTATGTTATACAGATGCATTTTGCACCAGATATGTGGGAGCAAAGAGCAGATGGTATGAAAAAATTGAAACCAAATGCAGTTCCTACTATTTTCGGTTTTTTTCTCAAAAAGAAAATATCAACAGAAAGTGTAAACGATGAAATATTGACAAAAGTTAACAATGTAAGCAATGATATAAAAATCTAGATGTGGAATGTAAATTATTAAATTACTAACACTACATTGAGATTTTAATGTATTTTTAATGTGTTATATATTTTTTAGATAATAATGAATATTCCTCAATCTTTATCTATAACAGATAGAAGAGAAAATCAAGAAGATCAAAAACAGTGTGAAAATCTTGCAACAGTTTATAATGAAAAGCAAGAAGTGGAATGTGAAGTTAGTTTTAAATTAGTAACATTACCTATGTAACATGTTATGTCACAATCACAAATTTCAAAATTAAATTTTGCGAAACTTTCCTCAATTCGTGACATTAACTCTTAAACATTATCATAAAATTATTGTTATTTGATAACAGAATTTTTTTTAGTATTATCTAATATATTTTGTATTATCTAATATATTTTGCAGATAATTACGAATACTCGTGATGATGAGTCTTTACCTATAACTTATTCAGGAAAAAATAAAGACGATGAAATACAATGTGAACATAAACACTTGGCAAAAGATTTTAAAAAACATCTACGAATGATAAACATGAGAAGACAAATAAAAGTGATGAGAAAAAGAATACAATCATTGGAAACTAAGATGAATACTGATAAATATAAAACAGCTCTAAAATCAGTTTTCACTGAAGATCAGATCCAATATTTGCATACAAAGAAGCGTTTTAAATATTGGTCCAATAAAACAATTCATCGTGCACTGAGACTAAAATTTCTTTGTGGAAATAATGGCTATAAAGCACTCATTAATCAAGGATATCCATTTCCAAGTTTGCGGACATTAAGACGAAAACTAGAGGATATTAAATTTGAGCGTGGAATTTCAAATACATTATTTGAATTTTTACAAAATAAGAAAACTTGTTTTGAAAACGAAGCGGATTTGGAATGCGGTTTAGTATTCGATGAGATGGCGAGTATACAAAAAATTCGTTACGATTCTTCAACGGGGTCATTAAGTGGAAACATAACAGTTCCTAACGAAAAAGGTAGAGCAACGCATGCACTTGTTTTTATGCTTGTCGGTATTAATAACAGATGGAAGCATGTAGTGGGCTATCATTTTACTGGTAATAGGTTTAATAGCGCAATTTTAAAAGATATTATCTTCCAGATAATTACTAAAGCGGAACAAATAGGCTTCCATGTAAATTTTCTTACATCAGATATGGGTCCTGGTAATGTGGGATTGTGGAAGTTGCTGGGTATAAGTACGGAAAGATATACTAAAATAAGTAATTATGTCACACATCCATGCGATAGAAACCGATGTTTATATGTTATCGCAGATCCACCACATATTTTAAAAAACTTAAAACAGGCATTAGTTAATAATGAAACGATATTTATTTCTGATGAAATTGTTATGAAGTATAATTTACCTTCAGATAAAATAGAATTGCAACATTTTTGTGAACTAATAAATATTCAAAATAAATCTAAACTTTTATTAATTCCTAAACTAAAGATGGATGATATTCATTGTAATAATTTCAACAAAATGAAAGTAAGCAAAGCTAAACATGTTTTTTCAAACAATGTGAGTAGCTCACTTGAATTATTAGCAAGTGAAAATAATAAACCAGATTTTATTACTACCGCCTGGTTTGTCAGGATTGTATGTAAATGGTTCTCACTTATGGCATCAAGATATTGTAAATTAGCCCTTGGAAAAAAAATATAAATGAATATAATGAAAAATTACTTTTTTAAAGAACGTTATTCATATTTTTACTAACTTAAAAATTGGTAAAGGAGAATTTAAACCTGTTCAAAGAGATGTTATATATATAATTAGTACTAAATCAGTATTAGACTTAACTGAGTATTTAATTAGTTCTAAAAATTTTAATTATGTCTTGACATCTCGATTTAATCAAGATTGTCTTGAGAACTTCTTTTCACAAGTAAGACAAAAAAACGTTGTACCAGATGCGTTACAATTTACAAACAACTTAAAATTAATTTCTATTGCCATGCATCTGAATCACATTGACAACAGTAATTATGATTATGACGAACAAGAATATTTACCAGGTTTTTTTGAGTATTTATCAGGACAAAGAAATAATACAGGACGTATTATGGACTCGAATAATAATTCAGAAAATATTGTTCACATTCCACCTTTTAATAAGAATTCGACCAAAAATTTAACAATGCTTCAATTAAATTCTTTATATAATATCGCTGGATATATTATAAGATCTATTATAAGAATATGTAGAACATGCGACAACTGCGTAAAATCTGTAGCATCAAAAACACCAATATGCTATTCCTTCACAAAATTGGTACAACTTAAATGTTATTCAAAAGAATCATTGTATTATGTTAATACAAAAACATTTCAGCTATTTATTTTGCTAGAACAGATATTCAGACATTACACTAAATATTTCGGTACTATAAACATTAACTGGAAAAGTTATTTAATATCTATCTTTATTCAGGTTACAGCTAAACATATTTTAAATTGTCATCAATTGTTTCCTAAAATTATAAGAAATTTGTCGTATTCAAATTAAGAACGTTAAGTAAGAAAAATACTAATATTAATAGATGATATGATAGTAAATCCTTGGCAGTACACACCCAGCATCCGAGAATGAAATAAAATGGATTAGACATTTTGTCTATTCGAATTTGTATTTTAAAAGCGAAAACTTTTTTTGGATTCAATTGGATTCAATTTTAAATTCAATTGGATGCAACTAGATTGATAAACTGCATTTCCTATTCAAAATTTCGAATTGTACAGTAATCACTATGATTATAAATGCACTGAAAAAGCTGATATTATTTTTTGATTGAAAGGTATACAGATATACTCCATGCAGTTTCTATAAATGAATCAAAACGTATTTGGATTGAAAAAAATTCATTTTAACATTCATGATATTTTTGAAAATCTGAATCCATTTCAATCCATTTTCAGATACTGGACACCTTTTTAAAATAAATTTTACAAATTTTAAGTGTTTTTACTTTTATCACTGATTTCCTAACCTTACTTTAATTTTACTTGGAAAAGATTTAATAGAATTAAGGAAGAATGTTAAATATAAAAATTATTTGACGTATAAACAAAAAGAACAAAGACAATATAAGAGTCAATGTTTAAAATTTAATAACAAAGTCAAAAATTAAATCATAAAATGTCAAAAAACAGCTATTATAATACAGTTATTTAAAGATAAAGTTGTACATAACTGACGATAAAACTTGACATGTTTTTTTTTAATCTGTCGTATATTATTTATATTGAATACGAGCGGGAATCGCTAGGAAATGGCGGACCAATCAAAAGTGGCACCCTGATGGCCAGTCTCTGTTAAGGAGCCTACAGACCAGAGCGGAGCAGCGGTGAAGCGGCGAACAATAGCCAATGAGAGCCATGCTTTTGCGTAAAAGCATGGCTCTCATTGGCTATCGCTCGCCGCTTCACCGCTGCGCCGCTTTGGTCTGTAGGCTCCTTTAGAGGGTCTCTATGGTATGTGGTCTCTAAACTCGCTCAATGGCCGGTATTCATAGTCAGTTCTTATATTTAAGGTCGTCTTAAGTGTACAGTCTTAAGGTTGATTTATACTGGCCGTAATCTGTTAACTTATGATGTAATCTGTAAAAATGGACCAATTATAATCGATTATTCCCCTCTCCGTCGACTGTGATTGGTCAATTTTTACAGATTACGGCATAAGTTAACAGTTTACGGCCAGTATAAATCAACCTTTAAGCGGGGAGCACAGACTTTTGCATAAAGCATAAAGCATGTGCATAAGGAATTTCATTGGTCCATTTTCTTATGCATGAGTCAATGGACCAATCAAATTCTTTATGTATATGGTTTATGCGTTATGCAAAAGTCTGTGCTTCCCGCTTTAAGATGTCACGAACCAATCAAATGGCAGCATTCGCGTCTTAAGACATTACTTAAGACAGTCTTCAAATAAGAACTGACTATGAATACCGGCCAATGTGTCTGACTAGCGAAGCTTCTACCGACCGTCACTAGGGGCGCCACAGAGAAATTTTTGCATCGCCAATACAGAGCGATTTTCAGTGCATAAAGCCCATGGCACATACAAAAACGTAAGGCCGTAAGGAAATCGTAACATAGATTCGCTACCGGCCTTACGGTCTCTACTGTGATTGGCCAATTCGCTTACTGATTACGTTTTACGGCCTTACGTTTTGTATGTGCTATGGGCTTTAAGCGGGGAGCACAGACTTTTGCATAACGCATAAACCATATACATAAAGAATTTGATTGGTCCATTGACTCATGCATAAGAAAATGGGCCAATGAAATTCCTTATGCACATGCTTTATGCGTTATGCAAAAGTCTGTGTTGGTGGGGCTCCTATTACGCTCGGTCTATGGTTTCTTATGGCTATGTAAATAACGCACAAGCTTTGGCGTATCGGCGTATGACGTGTTTATGCACGCTATCGAAAGATATATCTAGCAATAATGTATGTACATAAACACGTCACTAATAAGTACGTCGTATAAAATGTTACGGCAGTGCTTGTGCTCAGACCTTATTAATCTCATGTTGGCCCTCGCTGAAAACCGAATAGGCCACAGGCATTTTGCGGTTACAGAAAAAGGTCCTTATATAAAGCGTTGTACGACTTTATTTCCGGCCATACAAAGGGGACGGTTTAATTTCGGAGCAATTGAAGATAATAAAATCTGTAATATATAATTACTTTATATTTATCGTACTTCGATATATGCTACAATCGATAACTTGCGCCAATTATAACTCGTATACGAGTTTCCGGAAGCGCGCAACAGGTGGCGACGGTGCGACTTGGCCGTACGCGCGATTTTTTGTTTCTTTCCTCTTCTTCGACGGCCTTACGGGGCATTACGGGGCTCTGGACCGAAAGTGGTCGGATCGGGATGCTGCATAAACGCGGCAACTGTGTTAGCGGTAATTGACAGCTGCCGAAAAGCGACGGCGGCAGAGCGGCGTCGACGGCATTTCGGTGCGCGCGCGCGCGCGCGCCCGCGACTATACCGCGATCCCGGGGGCGTAAAAATCGGCGCGAACGCGAGCGAGGGTGTGCGCGTGGAAATTTCGAATGGACCGTCGAATACTTTGGTGATATACATCCGCGCATCTCGCAAGGACATCTCCCGCGGAGAGGCTGCGCCCACCCCGCGTCGATTCGGATCGGATCGGCATCGCGACGACCGTCCATCGAGAGGAAGAGAGAGAGAGAGAGAGAGAAAGACCTTTTTTTAAAGGTCCGCCTGTGTTTACTGTTCCACGCTCGCGCGTGTCGAGAGGTTTGTTCCTTTTGGCTGCCCATCTCTCCTGCATCTTCTGTATTTTAAACGCGCTGCGACAAAGCATATATATTCCGCGGCGTCTCGGTATCGCTCGCGGTCTCCAAAAGTATTGATCGTTCCTTCAGTTTTTGTTTTACGTTCAAGTCGGAATTTCTCAACTACCGTCGCTCACTTTTCTTTTTTTTTTTCCTTTTTTCAATTCTAAACTACGCCGAGGGTGTTGCGGAATGGAGTCGCAAGTAAACACGCATACAGTGTGATTCGCGTTCGTGAAAACGAATCGAGGTATCGATGTGACTTATAATTCGAACTCTGAGAACGAAGGGGATTGTGTGTGTGTGTGTGAGCGTGTCAGAAACCGAAATAAATAACGGAACATTCGCAGTTCCATTCCAACTGTATATCTGTTTTTCACTTCATCTTAGAGACCCGCGATAAACTGCCGACTGCCCCGCATTTCTTTTAAGAATCAGAAAGTTTCAGCACAAATTCGTATAAAATGAAACAAGAAACAAACCCTTTTCTGTGTTTATTTGACATTTTATTTCTGTCTGTCCACTTTATACATTCTTTGTGTGTTATATATGAATTTTGTCGATTACGGAAATGAAATGTGCTTGTAATAATAGAGGTCTTTTTCTTCTAAGCGATACCCTACTTAGATCCGTTTCTTCGGTCAATCTGAAAAGACAGAGATTCTTATAGGCGGACGAAAGTGCAGCTGAAAGGAGAACAAGCCTGCCGTCTCGGACGACAGTAAAACGGCGTACAAGTGAGACGGAAATTTGTTGGAGGACGCGAATTCTCGGTCACAAGAGTGGTCCCCCCTGCAGATATGTGCTCGACAACGCGAGGATGCGCTCCTCGTTTCCATCATCGCGTTGAACGACTCTCGGTAAGTTTCATTCGGGATGCTCTCTCGCGATGGACATCACTTTTAGTCTAACACATATGAGTCCTTTAGAAGCCATGAAACTGCTCGACTCCGTGAAACAGAAAGCGAAGAGAATCAA